GTGTACAGTTCAACGCTTTCATTGAAAATCTGGAAAGTCAAGGCAACACCAGAGGTGTGGCTAAAGTTTCAATTCAGTCCTGGGCAGATTGGCTGAGTTTAACCCATTGCTTGGACTCTCCTCACAGCGTATTGAAAACCGTGACCCGACAAAAGCGCGCACAACAAAAGCGCGCCGACAAAACCGCATCGCTAAAACCGTGATGTCATCAACACGCCGACAACAGCGTGCCGACAGAAGGGCGATTTACAACAGCGCATCGGCAGAAGGGCGATTAGGGTTAGCGTTACGTTTAGGGTTAGGGTTAGCGTTACGTTTAGGGTTAGGTTTAGGGTTAGGTTTACAGCGCCCTTCTGTCGGCGCGATTCAGCGCTCATTCGTCGGCGCAGTTCAGAACTCGCAGTTTTGTCACCGTGGTTTAGTCGGGCACGCTTTTGTCAGGTGCGCTTTTGTCGGTGAACCACTGAAAACGACCTTTCAGGTAAGCCAATGGTCATTCTAAGTTACAGAAATGTGGAGATATTCATTATCCAATAAAATAGCAAGCACTAATTCAGTCTTGATGCTACCCATGGAAGGTAGCCGAAGGACAGAAAGAAAACTGGTTGAGGGGAAGCCAATTAAACACATAGACTAACAATTGCTAATGTTTTGGGTATAACAAATAGGCTGCATTTTAAAAAAACAATTCAAATATAATGTATTATCCCTACATATCCTCATGTGCTTTCATTTGCAAAGAAATGTTGCCAAAACCAAAAAATTATGTATATTGGTAATCTTGGCTTATGGGGGAAGTGGTATTCACTTAATGACAGCATGATTAACTTAACAACCACAATAAAATGGTTATAAAATCAATTGCAACTCATTTAACAACCACATCGCTTAGTGATGAAAGTGCTAGTCCCAACTGTGGTTGCAATTTGAGGACTACCTGTGCACATACAGTAGTAATGTGTAATGAAGGCTACGCAGCTGAGCCTTTAGATTGCTAAATGCAAGAACTATTGTGAAGTTGCTTGATGAGCTTTACATGTTGGACAAAAAAAAATACACTATGCAAAATTTAAGAGTACTTGGTTAAGCGCATAGTTACTGTTTGTTATTTATGATTCATCCATTGCTGTTGTTACTTTAAAAACATTCAGGAGGTTTGACAGTAAGCAGCATTCAGCGTGGAATACGACTGTATTTTATCTAATCAAGGAATTCAAGTAACTGCTGTAATTCAAGAGCAAGCACTATATACAAAAAGCATATTCAAAACATTTGCCTCTCATTCCCATCATATGAAATGAATTATCAAGTTCCTTCTTTGTTTTGGAAGGTCCACTTTTTCACTAATTATAAGAAAATAAACTCTCACAGAACTCTTTCTGTTCTGGGTTCCTTCCCTATAACAGAAACGCTGACAAAAATGATTCTGAGTGAATTGGAAAAGATAAAGGGATTCTTTCACAAATTAAATATTGTGCTTGCTACCAACAGATGCAGTTTATAAGAGATAGAAGTGTGAAAACACTCCCATTCAATTAGTCGTCTTGTTGCCAGATCCTAAGAGGCAGATAGCTACCAGTACCATACAAATGTTATCCAGTGGCAGAGGCATCAATCTCATCTGAAAAAGCTTAAACAATGCATGCTACATTATTTATTGATTAACCATAATCATGTTGTTAGCAGTGACCTGATAATTTTGTTCCAAAGGATGGGTTTGAATGTAAAGCTTTGAAATTTTCAAAGGTCCAAATAATTAACTTGATGTTTTCATTTGGAGAGCAACCATATCTCATTTACTCTAATAACTCAAGAGAGAAATCCAAATTCTATTAAAAGCATTTGTTGATACTGTCATAAAAAAGGCTCGGATGCCTTCTATCAAAATATTCACTACAGAAGAGTGGCGAGTTACCGGGAAGATTTGCAAATTAGGTATTTACCAAGAAACAGAATAGAAAGAAAATGGGTCCCTTTGTTTCTTGAGGAGCTACATGAAATTGTTGGAGCATGGGGAAAGATGGAGAGTGGTTGTACACAAGAACTCAATACAGGTAAGTCCTTAGTTAAGAATGGCAATTAGGATCAGAATTGCTGTTGCTAAGCACTGTGGTCATAAAGCAACATGCCACGTGAAGGTCCTGCTTAGTGACAGCAATTCTATCATTCCTGATTTCCATAGTTAAGTGAGACATTACATGGTTGCCATTTGCAACCTCTTGCCAGATTCCCCATTAGCTTTGCTTGTTTGAAGTCATGAAAAAAGGCAACCACAGGCAACTGAGACATTATAATTGCAAGCCAGGTGTCAAGATTGTGATCATGTGAATGTGGAGTCTTACAGCAACTGAAACTCTGAGAACTAGTTGCAAGTACTACTTATTCAATGCTATTCCAAGTTTGGACTGTCACTAAATGTGTGGTTAACTACCTGTAGCAAACTAAAGGTGACTATAGTAAAGAACCATGAATTTGATACAATAGTTTTCCAAGCTAAGCAATAAGTGGAATGTTTTTGTATTATGGTGGAGAACAAGAAAACAATTTTCTCCTGGACAAGTTTCACAACTAAGATTAACCACATTTGTACACAGGCGGCTGATAATAGAACTAATTCATTCTGCTTAGTAATACTTTTCAACTGTACATCTTCTCCAAGGCGCAATGTTTCTGTACACTGATCAAACTCTTATCATATGGGAGATGCTAAGTTCTTGTCTTAACCTACTCCAACATTCCTATAGAATGGAACCAGAAGTAACTACAAAAATTAAGCTTACTATGAGAGTAGGGGTACCAGTGGATTTATCTTCTCATTATAAAGCTGTTACTTTGAATCTGGGAAAAATACCCCCAAAAGTCTACGTGATGAGTTATAAAACCAACCCTGTCTAACTATAAGTAGCTATAGCTAACAAAAATAGGGAAATAAGACAGAACTGAACCAGTGTATTTTGGATAGTTGAAACAATAGCTGCAGTTCATGTGAAGGCAAATGTTACCAACAATTTTAAAAACTATTTGAAAATCTTCATTCTAGTTTGAATATTTTATTTCATTTTCATTTTCATTTTCATTTTC